AAATATTTCATCTTGGCAAAAGACATCTCTGCATCTTCGAAATACACGATTTCTCAAAGTTAAAATTCCTCAAACTACCAAGGGAAAAATATCCAAAATCGAATTATTACGCACGATCTATCTGCAAGTTTATTGTCCTCAAACTCCAAAAAAAAAAAAAATCAAATTTCTATTTTATAAATAACACGATATTACCTGCAGATGAACGAAATAAAATGACAGTATCTGCAATTAAAGATCCCCTCCCCTTGCAATTACATCCGCGTAGCAGAAACTGGTTTAGAATCCTGAATTTTTCGAACATTTTTCGAACAAGAACAAGAGTATATCTCGCTACGAGATGAGTATTTGCAAATGAAGATCACATGTATTCGTGTTTGTTGGCGGAACTGGTTTAGAACTCTGTCGATAAGTCGGAGATCGGTGCTATATATAGAGGCGTTCGTAAAAGAATAATCGATGGAGAGCAAGCATACCCGTGGTGGATGGAGTAAATAAGCCGGAAGAGGGAGAGCAACGAGTGAATCGTGATTTGATATTCAAATGACGTCATTCTGGGGCGTTCGTTCCGGTTAAGAGCGATCGCGAGAGCTCGCGTAACTTGTGCCCGCGGACGCGAGCCAATCGGTTATCGATCTCTCGATAGAAGCGCCGAGCCAGGATATACGCGATCGCGTTCCTCGACGAAGCAGAGGCAACATCGTTGCGCGTGATCTACCTACGCCGTGTCCGTAGATTTATGAGTACAAGTAGATTAAGACCGCGAGCTGAGTTTTCGAGCTAACTTAAACCTTGACGGGCGCGAGTACCTCGCGATTAGAGATCGATCGTGCGCGCGCGTTCTTTCTTTGCGAGCGGGAAGTTTTGAAATTTAATTTTGCGTAAGTGTTTCGTACATTCTCTTTTATTTCTCTCTTCCTCTCGAAAGGGAATCACTTTGAATCTGTTAAAATCTGTGCGCACACTTTGAATTGATCGAGAAACCTAGAGATTAGATTTCGTAAATGTCACGTGTAATGCAATATTCTCTTTTATTTCTCTTTTTTTTTTTCGAAAGAAAGTCTCTCTGTTAGAAGTTTCTTTCGTAAAAAGTTGTTCAAGTGGGACAAAAGATACCTTCAACCTCTCCTAAATGTTACATTTGACGTTAGTTATAAAT